TCTCTCTCTCTCTCTCTCTCTCTCTCTCTCTCTCTTTCTCTCTCTCTGCCTCTCTCTGTCTCTGTGTCTCTCTCTGCCTATCTCTGTCTCTTTCTCTCTCTCTCTCTCTGCCTACCTTTGTCTGTCTTTGTCTCTGTCTCTCTCTGTCTCTGTCACTCTCTGTCTCTCTCTCTGTCTCTCTCTCTCTCTGTCTCTGTGTCTGTCTGTCTGTCTCTCTCTCTCTCTCTCTCTCTCTCTCTCTCTGCCTACCTCTGTCTATCTCTGTCTCTGTCTCTCTCTGTCTCCTCAGGACTCAGCTCAGGAAAGCAGGGTATGGGGCAGGCTTTCCTGAATTTTTTCTGCTAGTTATTCTTCATATAATCTTGGAAAACTCATTTGTGTTCATGCTGCACTGAAATTTTCTAATTGAATGCCACAATACCGCATTCATCTTACACTTCTCGAGTCCTCAGTGGCTATCGCATGGAAGGTGCTCCATCCTTGCATTTTGCTTTTCTCTTTGTTGAGTCATACACAGGGGTTCTGACCTTATTCTGGGCCTGGGTTGTCACACCAACTGGCTCCCCCAGTCAGTCATATTCATTAACTGCATCTCAGCATCACTGACTCTCCACTTCTTTGGCCTGGCTGTTCTGCATGCCTTATCTCAGCGAGTAGAAGCCGTAGACTAATGGGTCATGGGCAGCAATGAACCTCCCATTTGTTTGACTGTTTGACATTCCGTGAGGCTGTCCTGAGACCTCCGCTCTATGCCTGTCTGTACATTACTCTCTTTCTAGCATACGTTGTAGAGCAATTCAATTATTCTTCTCACAAGCTGCTATTTCCTCATTTTCCTTTGATCTATGTATCTCCAGCACATGTAAAAAAACGTAGCTATTGCTTATTTATTCTATGTCAACACCATCATATCAGCTTGGGCATATAGTGTCTGCTTCACAGGTGCTTATGAAACAAAATGAATTGGACACCACCCTCTTCTGCTTTTCACTAGCAAGGCAGGTTCTCCTCAGAGTGCCAAGAAAGAACCACTGACTCGAAGCCAAATGATGTCTGAGGCTCTAATTGGCCTTTTGCCGTACAGCAGCTCACTTACCTCAGCATCAGACCAGCTCTTCAGCTTCCTGAAGTATCCATAGCAAGTGGATTTGTAGGAAAACCACCCACTAGCACAGCTGGGTCTCATGATATCTGTGTATTAACAAAAGATAATTTCAAGTTATAGTGGCAAAATGATCAATGTCCAGATCTTATAGAGACAGAACCCTAGAATGAAGGTCAGGAAAGACCTTGCCGCATTACTAAAAATGTGTACTGTTCGTCTTTCTCTCAACCTTCCTCAAGGGGATCTAGGGGCTTTCACCAGAGTTGATGTGCTTTGGGGGAAAAGGAAGCAATCAGAGCTTTCTGCAGGTTACTGAGTACTGGCTCTCAGCCGACACTGTTTTCAGGAGGCCCAGATATCATGGGGATCCAGCTTCCAGAGGGAAGATCATGGAGGTTACACGTCCACGGCATTGTAGCTCAAGTCTTTCTCACAGGAGATCCTCTGAATCCATCTGTAGTTAACCAGCTATGGTTATTTCCCAGTTCTGGAATGCGTAACTGGAGAACACAGGCTTAGCCACTGGCAGAATCCCACAGTAAGTGTAGGCCAAAGAACCATAATTCAAGTCAACACAAGAGTAGTCCAGAGGGGTAGACTGATAGCTTTAGGCATTAGTAGAAGGAAGCAGTCCTTCTAGCATGGCAGATGGAACAGGTTTCATGGAAACCTGGCTGGAAGGTGAACACAGGTGGGCTGTGTGTCAGTAGCAGGAAGGGACATTTTAGGCAAAAGACACAGGCAGGGCAGGGGAGGAAAGGCAGGACTGCGCAAAGGGTGCACAGAAACAACAAACACAAGTTGCCCCAAGCTCAGGAGAGCTGCCAGGCAACCATGACAGATAGGACCAAGAACAGTCTAGAAGTAACAAAGCCATAATTCAGGGCTAGTTCTTCCTGCTAGTCAGCTGGTGAGTGAGCCATGTCACTGGATCTGAAGTCTGTGAAGGAAGGACGGCTGCCAGTACAAGGAGGCTGGATGATGGAGAGGATGCCAAGCCAGCCAGCAGTCCAATTTTTTTTTTAACAGTGCGGCTGCACTCTGACACTGTAGATTGGTGCGAGGGTCTTCCTTTTCACAGTAGGTGTCCACAGGCTGGAGCCATGATAAGAGCGCTCCTCTCTCCCCTGTCAGGAATCACCGTTGTCACTTGCCTTCCTCTTCTGTTTTATTTCATCCCCCGCCTCTAAATCATTCACAACTCCTCACTGCATTCTGATACGCTTCCTGCTCAGGAGAACCGAGAGCTTTCTCAGTCTGATCTTATTGCCCTAGCTTGTCACATCTCTCTATGCAGCTGTCCCAGATCACTTTAGAAAATGCTTCTATTGCCTAGTGAAATCCTTTGTATGTGCTACTGTACCTACGGATGGTGGATAATGCAGCTAAGAAGCTGAACTAAAGGCTTTGAGGGTTGCTAATATAAACTCAAGTCAAGCAGCAAAGATATGCGCTTATTTAAATGCCTTCCCTGCTACTTTTAGAAAAAATGAACACGATTTTATGTTAAATAAAAAAGAAAGCCTCCATGTCATTGCTACTCTTACAGCTGCAGTCTACCAGCTTCCATACAGAGGGTATTTGCTTACTGTCATCTACTACACTGATTTGCTCATGCTATAGTTTTTCTCGTAATAATGCAGGAAAATGAGAAAATAGGCTGAAGGATGTCACACAGTAGAATAGGAAAGCTGTTTTGTAGATCCAGTTCTATGGCTTGAAAATTCGTGTTGTTATCAACAGCATTCCCAACCTTCTCGTGCTGTCTTTCCACTCTGTGTCTCTTTGGTTTGTCCTTGTGTTTTACTGCGTCATTCTTATGACTCTATTAGTATCACTGCCTCTGTTTCTTTGAATTTCCTTCCTTCTGCATCTTTTCCCTCCCCTTTGCCCCAGATGGTAGAGACTATGCACCCCCTGGTGGACATTTGGGCTTCTAGAAATGGAACTAGCAGCTCTCTGCTGAGGACCTGCAGCACTTGCCATTACTGGACACATTTACTATTTACTAGGTACTGATCCAGGAAGATCATGTGTATTTCAATCCTTTCCATAATAACCCTTATGAGTAGGTACTCAAATTTTCCTCGTTCCAGAAGAGGAAACAAATGCAAAAGAACATGTCATGTCCCACAGTAAAGTGATGGAGACAAGATTTAACCCAAGACAGTCTGACTCCAAATAAGAGTTCTTAGTCATCTCAACTCATCATGCTAGGCCTGGCCAAATAGCTCAGTGCATTAAAATGCCTACAAGCAGGTGTAGGGGCCAGGGGTTCAATCCCCGGGCCTGCTGTGCAGGTCCCACCCCCAGGGTAAGCTGAGATGGCAATTGAGACTGGGGGTGGTGGCAGGCGCCTGTAATCCCAGCACTTGGGAGGCTGTAAACAGGAGAATAACTATGAGTCTGATCTAGTAGTGAGACACTGAACACCTTGTAGACCCTTCCCTAAAATTAAAATTAAAAAAAAAAAAAAACCTCATTGTGCTTGAGCTATTTCTTTTTAAGCCCAGATGGACCAACAAGATTTACTCAAATTTCTTCCATTACCAGACTGTCCCTTAGAGTAGCCCCACTGTACAGGTAGTGAAACCTCCTAGGAGAAAGATGAGTGACCAGTGGAAGTCATCAGGTGGGAAACGGGATGGGATCTGGGGGAGCAGCCAAGGCCTTCCCCGAGGCTAGAGCCCCATCTCCACCTCCCACTGTTCTAGAGTTCCTCAACAGTGTGAATAGAGTGTCAAGAGGCTTCAGCATTTTGCATTTGGCCTCTATTAATCTTATAGCTGCTCTACACAACTTAGCAGATGTATAAGCTTGGGAACATTATTAACTTCCTTTAGCTAAAGTTTTCTTGTTTGTACAATTAGACTAGCAATATACAGGTTTTTATAGGATTAATTGGGAGGGTTAGTTGGAATAATGTACATACAATGATTAGCATAGAACTAAGTATACTAAATAGTAGCTAGTTGAAACTCTGAGGTCATCTCAACCCCAGAGGAACAGGAAATCTGCTGGCCACCTAGAAATGGCCTCAGGAGATAGTTCTGAAGACAGAGTGAGGGCAGCCTCTTAGAGTCTCACACACCCTTGCATGGTTCAGACATGGTGGTGAGTTCTGAGGGCCTGCACAGCCATAATGGTTGAGAAAACCAGTTGCTGGGATTAAGTGTGGGGTAAAGGGCAGAGACCACAGATGAAAAGGATATGCCAAGGAAATTCTACAGCAAAAGCCACAGTCTTCATCTGTGGGGCCAACAGGGCCTGGCAAACCTGTTTCTCCTTGAATTTTCTTCCACTGGATCCTTCCCTCCTCCGCCTAGGCAAGGACATTTCCCAGTGGGAGAAGAGCGAATTGCCAAACAGCACTGAGTCCCCCAGGCGCCTCTGTGCTCAGCAGAAGCAGTGCCCAAGCCAGGATCCCTCACAGTCCCTATACAGCTCCCAGCAAGGCGACAGTGGACTGTGACAGGCTTCTAGGAGAGGGAGCCAGTCTGAGCACCACATCGTTTGGCTGTGTGACCTTGCATAAATCTCAGCCTTGCACATATTTCACTCCTTTTCACCTCAAATATTCTATGATACTCATGTTCAGCATATTTTGTTTCCTTCCTCCACTGTCTCACCAGTAGATTCTATCTCCTTTCTACTTTGTTAAAATGCTGCTTTTTTTTTTCTTGTGTATTTAGTACAGGGTCTACAGGGTCTCACTACATAGATTGGACTCAGAGTGATCCTCCTGTTTTCAGTCTCCCAAACGCTGGCATTACAGTCTCAGGCCACCATGGCCAGTCTCAATCACTGTCTAAGTGTGCCCTGTGGGCGGGGCCAGCACAGCATTGGGATCGAACCCGATCCTGTGTTCTGCCTAAGCAAGAGCTTTAGTCTGCTGAGCTATCTGGCCAGCCCTAAGATGCTGTTTTATACTTGATTCTTTGTTGGTGAGCCTGTCTGAACCATTTGTCCAAGCAGGTTGTATGTACGTCCCTCGAAAAACTGAAATTCTTGGTATGCCCTGGTTGGAAAACAGTGCCTGAATATTTGGATGTTCTAATTGTAGCTATCACTTATTGACAGCTGGGTGTTAGGTGGCTTGAACTATACTTTTATCATTTACAAAAAACGTGCAAAATTAATTTTACCATTTTCAAGCAATTGACTATGTCAGTATGGCTTGCAGGTCTACGCAGCTGGCTTTTGTTTGACTCTGCAGCCGTTGAGCTCTGCCCCACAGCCTGCAGCTTCGTGTTCCCATCTTTGCTACCTACCTCCCGCACTGCATGATGGATTGGGGATGTAGTGCTTTGGTTGGTTTTTGTGTTGTTTTGTTTGGCATTTTGGGTGAGTGGACAGCGGAGCCACACGGACCTTGCAGTCACGGACCGTGGCCTCCGTCCCCACTAGCGCCGCACTCACCGCCCAGGGCTTCGGAGCCTGCCGCCCAGCTCAGCAGAAAGAGCAAACGCAAGCCTTTGCTGCATGCCATCTTCGCCCGCCCCTGAGGAGGTGCCTCAGACACTTCCGCCGCGAGGAGCTAGTAGTCCTAGTTGATTGTGTCTTTGAAATTCTCAGGTTCTCCTAGATCTGCAACCGGAACATAGTTATACTAGTGAGAAGAACCTAGGAATTTAGACAGAAATTACATAGGAAGAAAAAGAACATTTTTCCTGCTATATTCAGATTTTACAGTGAAGAGGATATCATCTTAAGTGTAAATATTAACAAAATTTAATTTATGAAATTTTATTCTCACCCACAAGGCCTTCTTGACCAGCATCAGAAAGCTTTCTACAGCCTGCTCAGCAGTTTAATAGACTGAATGGAAGCTTCCTTTTTAATTTTTTTTTTCAGTACCGGATATTGAACTCAGGACCTTGCGCTTGCCAAGCAGGCACTTATACCACTGAGCTATCTCCCCAGCCCAAGGCATTCATTTTTAAACTACCAGAGAGCCCACCTGGGTTGTTCTCTGGAGAGCTGGTAAAGGTCACCCAGGCTAGCCTCCTCCTGGATGAGGCTGTGGTGGGCTTTCTAAAGTTGAGAAAATCAAATCAAGAGATTTTAACAATGAACTTTTTAATGTTGCTCAGAGTGAATATTTGGCCCAAGGATCACATTCCACAGATTAAAAACTCTGAGGTAGATGGACCGGAAGTCATTTTCTCATTATCACAGCTACAGCCAGATTGGAGATCATCACTTTGCACTGTGCTGGTAACACTTTTTCCTTTTTGCAACATCTGAGAACAAAGAACCTCAGATCTTCCAACTTTCTGAAGCTCCCAACTCTGATTTAACACTGTAACTATCTCTGCTCCTTTTTCCCTTTTCAATAAGATGTCCAGTAAAATGTCTTCCTTCTCTTAAAAGAAAGCTTTGTTATCTTTCCTCAGTATAAAAGCATGGATTACAAAAAGAAAAAAAAAAGCATGGATTATAAAAGACCAACTCAACCATAAAAGGTTCAAGTCAACAACTTCTGACATTGCCAGTCCTACAGAAAAGCCACTATTATTATGGACTACTGGACTGTATTGGATTGCTTTGCTGAATTCATGTACCTACAATATTTAAATGGCAATGGAATATCCATCTCTGACAAAACTATACAAAAAAAGAGGATACAAATGAAGGACCATTTTGTATCTCTTTGTACAAAATATTACTTTCTCTTCATTCAATGAGAAGAAAGATTTGTATTAGTAGTGTTTGGACAGGATATCATGTCTGCATCTTATACTATAAATAACCACTATGAAGACAACAATATGCAATGTATTAATTATTGAAACTGTCCCACTAATTGGTTTTGAAGCTGTCTCATTGCTATTTGTCTCTCAATAAAATTAACAAATTTTTTTTTAAAAAGCCCAACTCAAAATTAGAAATAAGAAGTAAATCCCGCCTCCCACAGCTAATGGTGCAAACAGCCCACAGACATTTTTCCATGTATGTCTTGATGTACAATTTCATATAAATTATTGTTCTCATCTTGTTCTCTAAGGCAGTTTTGTTTCTCAGAAACAGATTGTAATGAACTTTCTTGCATTCACATTTCTTCATGCAAATTGGATCTGTCTTTTCTATAAATTTGCTTACACTGGTGGCAAAGTCACAGAAATTGCATGTTGTAATTTTGAAGCCCCTTGCTAAATCCTCTGGGAAAGACTTCATCAGACAGCCTAAGAATGCTTGGGGGGTGTTAGCTTCTCCAGGCCCACACGCATACCTAACTTCTCTCTCTCTCTCTCTCTCTCTCTCTCTCTCTCTCTCTCTCTCTCTCTCTCTCTCTCTCCTGTTATACTGTAGAGAAGAAACTTAGTGTTTTGTTAACTATCTTAAACGTACTAATGAAGTTGAACACACTGACTAGTCTTTCTCTTGTGAACTTCGACTTTGCAAATTTACACATTTTTACTTATTTTTTCTTACTGGTTTATGAAAGCTTACGTAATTTATAGCTTGCACATGTTATCAATAGTATTTCTCAGTTTGCATTTTTTACTCACTCATTCTTTTAACCTTTTGAAATTTTCAAGAATTATATTGTTGTAGGTATGGTCTCTTATAATTTTTGGAATTTCTTTTAGAAAGACTAACCACTACTGTTGCATAAGGTGAAAATAGTCACCTAAAATTTCCCTCTGTTTTATCTATCTGAGATTTAGTTTAGTATAATAAGCATTGAATTGGGTTCTAGAGTTTGTCAAATAATTATTTAAATGATCAATTCATTGACTTCTTAGTTAACCATATCTTCTGATTAAAAAATTGGGATTATACTAACTCTCTAATAGTAGAGGTTTAAGGGAAGTGATGCAATTTAATATTTGAAATATTTTCCTGGGAAATTTCCCCCAGGGTGCTATCTGAAGACTTCTCAGTATTCACAAAGGAGGGCGTCAGAGAACAAAGGTGCAGAGTTGTAACTGCATGAATGCTGAACTCCTTTGCTGAACTTTCTTCTTAAAATTAGTGGGGTATTTTTAATTTCTTAAAATCCTTTTTTTTTTTTTTTTGTATTTTAGGGAAGGGTCTACAGCGTATTCGGGGTCTCGCCACTAAATGAGACTTGTAGTGATCCCCCTGTTTACAGCCTCTCAAGAGCCGGTATTACAGCATGCCCTGGGAGTGGGGGCTGGCATGACAGGCCCAAGGATCCAACCCTCAGCTCCTGTGCCTGCTTGCAGATGCTTTAATCCGCTGAGCTATTTGGCTGGCCCTTTAAAACATTTTAAAAATGTAAATAGGTATAAGTTATCTGTCATGCTATCTAGGGAACAGAGGCATAGTATCTTCTTCATTAGTCAACATTTGTCTTAAATATTCAGTAAATGCCTATCTTGTAATGTTTAATCCCCATAACTAGGCTGCATTACAGCATCATTAACTTATTTCACAGTTGATGCTCCTTGACATTATGTAATCTTTCGAGAGATTCACAACTACCAGAATGCAGATCAATGACTTCACCCAGGACCAATAAATACCCTTTGCAATAAGAGAAGAAAGAGAATGAACAATTCAAATCAAACAACACAGCAACAAAAAGCATCATACCATTATTAGAACTTTAACTAGTAATTCCTGGCCCACATAGAAGCTGGCCAAGGAAAAAAGATGTTCACAGAAAGCTCTCTGCTCCCACCTGCAGAAGGATTACCTGACTGGAAGCAGGGCTCTGTGGACCCCTCCTTCGCCAGCGTCTCAGTGGTCCCAGGCAGGCTCTGGAACTCTTATACCTTTGTGCTTCCGGATTTAATAATCATTGTTTAAACCACAGAGTAATAAGGTTAATTACAAGGATAAGTCTTATCTACAAAAAAGAACCCTTTGAGTAATGGCTTGGGAAGGGATGCAAGTTGTGCCTTGAATCCAGGAAGAGAACCTCTCCCTGTGTGCAAACAGAATCTTTTTTTTATATCCCAGCTTATTGAGATCAACAGTATCTGCTGATATTCTATCAGCTGATCTTCCTCTCCCTCAGCTCCACTCTTTTTTATATTATTGTGACATAGATTGCCTTTATTTCTTGTCCTCTAGAATGATGCTTCAGTTCTGAAGATTCATGCTCCTATTCTTGCAGACAGGACTGGCTGTCAGGACTGGGCATGGGCTCTGACCACATGGTCTGCCCTGAGGTCCACATACAGACTTTCCTCCTTGAAGCACCAAGCTGGCCTCCACCCAGGGGACTTCAGTTTCCTTAGGTTTCCTTCTATTTAAATGTTGCTCATTTGTGACTTATAGTGTTTGTGCTTTCTGAATTTCATGTAAGATATCTCCACACAGAGAAAAAAATTAGAAAACTCCACTCAGGATTCAGCAGACTTTTGGACTTGTTCCTTACATTATTTTGGCCATAATTTTTTTATGGGTTCTATAAAAGACCTCACTTGTAGTTCATCAATGAGAAGATTCAGTAAAGTTCTAGGAGATCTGATTCCCTCACCTGTTCTCCTCTACCCTCTCTCAACTTAGGTCTCAAAATCTTTCTACAGCAACAAGAAGAGTGCACCAAAGTGGAGAGTGGGTATAGAGAGGGTCTGTCTAAACCTATATTTTGCAAAGTCTTCTTTGTCTTGACCTGGAACAGGGCTTTTGAGCTTAAAACACCTACAGTTACACTACTTGTTCTCCATTGTGCTGTGAAACAGTGACAATTCCCAACCATCTGCTGAAAGAGAAAGGAGCTTGTGTTGAACACATGGAGCATGAAATAAAATTTGTCCAGATAAATAATCCTTCCACATACAAAGGTTCAAAGAGGTTCATAGTGCAGCCAGTGCTCTACAGTTACTGGGAACAAATTTAGAAGCTAAGCCAAGCTCAATAGAAAGCCGGACCTGTGCTCTTCCCTCAAAACACCATTATATGGATGAGGCCCTCTAAAGTATCCTTTGTTCGCTTGAAAGCCCTGCTTTCTCAGGCCCTGAACTTATATACAGACTAGGAAAATCCAGCAGCAAAGACTGGGCACCACTTAAGGCAAAACAAATAATAACAAATGCTGGGCTTGGAACAGACAAATCTGGCTTCTCCAACAAGTCACTGTGAATTACACTATTCTATCACAATCCTCTGGGCCACAATTTGTCACCAAGAGAGCCACAGAGTAAACCTGGATAACTGCCATGGCCATGCCAAGGCCGGATTTAAAGGCCTTTTATAGAGTTAAGGCTACTACAGTGAATGATCCCTGGCACCTATAGTTTAATCATCTGCCATCTGCATTAGGAAAGGGAATCTTAGGGCCGGCCAGATAGCTCAGCAGCCTAAAACACCTGCTTAGGCAGAGCACAGTGGCCCAGGTTCAATCACTGGCGTGCCGTGCCAGCCCCACCCCGGGGTGCACTGAGACAGCAATTGAGACTGGGCATGGTGGCCCACACCTGTAATCCCAGTGCATGGGAGGCTGAAAACAGGAGAATCACTATGAGTTTAATCTATGTAGTGAGCACCTGTAGACCCTGTCAACCCTGTCCT